CACTTGACTGCTAACCAGAAGGCTGGTGGTTCACACCCACCAGCCACTCCTCAGAAGGAAGATGGGGCAATCTACTTCTGTAGTGTAGTGATACTGCCTCGGAAACCCAAGGAGGGGTCCCTATGAGTCAGATCTGACTTGAGGGCATATAACAACAACAACAACATTGTTTTCAATTAACTATTTTTAGACATACAAACATAACATTTAAAAATGAAATTCTGTTGACGAAATGCTGATAAAAGCCCTGGAGCATCCATTATCTCCACAGTCATTTTAAGCTTTAAAATGGAGTGAGTCTGTGGAGCACTTTTTCCCTTAAAATTTCACATCTTCCTCCCAAGCCTCTCTGCTTAATTAGCTATAGTTCTTCTTCTGTGTTATTGAGGGAATCATTGCTGATTTTTTTTTTTTTTTGTGGTATAAACTGGAAGGAAAAAAATGAACATTCATAAACACCTACATAATTTGTGACCCTTGTGTACAGGCATATTGACATATTTTTCAGAAATACATCTATTAATATAGATGACTTTTCATTATTCACCTAAAAGCCAACTTTATATATTTATATCTCCTGTCACCATAGTACCAAGACATTCAAAACACATAACACATTAGGCTAAATGTATTCATCTAAGCAAAGAAAGAGACACATTTGAAGGTATATATTGTTTTTAAGGGAGCTCTGGTAGCATAGTGCCTAAGGCACTTGACTGCTAACCAGAAGGCTGGCGGTTCAAACCCACCAGCCACTCCTGGGAAGGAAGGTTGGGCAATCTACTTCCATAGTGATACCACCTTGGAAACCCAAGGGGGGTTGCCATGAGTCGGGGCTGACTCGATGGCACATAACAACAACATTATTAGTTTATTTGAAAACAGAGCATGCTTTTCCAGGAAAAAAAAAAAATAAGACTCTCTTATATATACTAAAATGGTCCTCAACCTACTGATAATCTGTTGTAAATAAATTACTTTAACAGGCTTTCTTCACTTCAGTGCTGGTACTGTGCCTCATTTTGCTATAAAAGTGTCTGTAATAGAACACAAACATTCACAGGTGCTTCTGTTTTATGTGGTTAAGAACTACTTTAATCTAGAACACCCAAAGAAAATGAGTGCCTGATAACAGAGCAGAGTGTGTCTTTCAGCTCTTATTTACAACTCTTGTTGCTTTTCCATTATTTTAATTGTATTTTTTATCCTGTCATAATTAACACTCCTTTGACCTAGTGCATAAAGTAGAAGATACATCAACTGATAGGGAAGGCAAGAGAAGAAAACTAAGAATTTGTTGAGCTTCTAGTATATGCCAGGCTGTCTGATAGGTTATTTTAAATACATTAGGCCCTTTAAGAGCTTCCTTTTAGTAGAACTCTGGGGTGTATTTCTTTACAACCAAATGCAAAAATCCTGAACATTCTTCATGTAAAACCAAAGAACCTAAAATCAGTTCAGTTTAAAGAATCACCTATTAGATTTCAGTTTTACCAAAAAATGAGGGCTTAAATAATTTTCAACTCTCTAAGTATAATGTCAGATCTCTTTATTAATTTGAGAACAATTTTCACATGTAGTTATGCAGATGGATTTTTTATTTTATCAATGCAAATCTATATCAAATTGTTAATTTAGTATTAACTATAAAATCATGTAATACTCCATCACCATATTTGTTCTCTTCATTAACTGCCAGGTCAGCCCACCTCATAGCAACCCCATGCACAACAGGATCAGACAGTTGTGAGCTATAGGGTTTTCATGGGCTGATTTTTTGGACATAGATCACCAAGCCTTTTTTCCTAGTCTGTCTTAGTCTGGAAACTTGTTCAGTATCATAGCAGTACCCAAGCCTCCACTGACAGGTGGTAGTTGAGCTTAAGGAGCATTGGCTGGAATTGAACCTGAGTCACCCACATGGAAGGCAAGAATTCTACCACTGAACCACTACTGCTTCATATTTATCCTCTAGGTCTCTTTATTATAAAAAAAAAAAGGTCTTGAACTTTCTATTAAAATAGGCATTAAAAAA